ATTTGAGTGCTAGCTTGGTATTATGTTATGTAAATGAGTTTTGAGCCAAGGAAAATCATGACATCTGAATCATGTATCTAGTCTCGCTGTTGTGTGTTACTTCTTGAAAATTATATGGTCATCCATTGTGGAGTCAAATGAACTTTTCAGCAGTGCTATTTGATATAAATATAAATTTGTGGAATCGTATAAACAATATAAATACAAATCTATCAAAAAAGGATTTGTTTTCCTATGTTCTTTTGATTTCCCACTACTATGGAGTAAACTTGGTGAATACTGAATGTTGCCTTTCCGGAGCGAGTTATTGTCATTACTGTGAAGTTTGCTTGTTTATTTCTTATATTGAAACTTGTGGATGATGATTAAGAGAATTCATCCGTTTGCATAGTGAGAGTTTATTGCATATATGAGCCTTTGATGTAGGAATTTGAGTTTGTAATACACTTGAATTATGGTTTCTGCTTGCGTATCACCATGTGAATGAGTTACTAGTATTTAAATAAGATATCATAGACTTGCATGTCTGAACTTTGGTCACAAATGCACTCAAAAAATGATACTCAGAAACCTATGTCTTATGCATGTTACACTTGTATGCAGAAAATTTCCTTTCTGCTACAAGGGAAACCTCTGTATGTTTTTGGTGCATTATTATTTTTAACTATTCTTGTTTTAGCATTTGTAATTCATATTTTTTTAATGACACCTTCTATTAGTCTATTCTGAATTTCTTTTTCTATGGTTTTATGATCTCTAGGAAAAGTGATTCATTTTTAATTACTCGTGCCGTCACTTCCTTTTTGCTGATGAGACCTTGAACGTTTTTTGTTTCCTGTATTTTTCTATTACACTTCTAAAAAGGGAACTAGCAGTTGTTTCCATTTATTCCATAAACATCTCCTAATTGAGCAAGATGTGGTGTGATCAAGTCCATAAGTTGATTAACAATAAAAGGTCCAAACATCTCCTAATTGAATGGGTGGTGGGTTTCGTCTGTGTGTGCTGTGTTTTTCTTTGTAATGTTGATATTGCAGCTTTTCTGTTGTACCGAGCATCCCCGTACATGGTTCTGTCAGGGGATCTTATGTTTCCTTGTCATCATTTTCAGCAATAAAATTCTACTATTTTAAAAAAATGTGTTGAACTTTTCTTGTTCAACATCAGCACTGCCACTGAAATTAGAATTGATACTGTTGTGACACTGATTTCTGAGGATTCACCAACTTCCTGTTCCTCTTGATCAAATAATCACTATTCTGCTTTTAAAGCTTCTGAATTCTTATTGTATTGATTCTTGCTGCAGAGGCCTGTTGAAGGATCAGCAGGAATGAAGCAAGACCCCCGGAGTTTCAAGCTTATACTAGAATATATAAAAGCCTTGCCTGTAAGTGTTTTACATATATATTCATTCTTTGTTGACAGAAGGACCTTCGGTGATACTTTATAATTTGTACTATCACTTTATGCTATAACATAAAAAATGAGCAGTGTTGAACCCTTTTTGGTAACGTTTATGAAGAGTTATCTGGTATGAACAATGCGATACGTTAGTCGTGACATTAATTGTGAAGAAATGCATTGTTGCTTTAAGCCTCTGCCTGTAATATACCTATGTTAAGGAAATACCAGTGGGCTGCAAAAGATCAGTTTTCTAGTTTGCTCTTTCCATAAAGTTCTGCTTCATTCCACGTGTGCACCGGTGCGTGCAAACATGAACATTCACGTGTGCACATGCATGAAAGTGGGTTCCATATTATAAAGGACGGCGTTAAAGCTCTGCCTAATCGGTTATGCAATATTTCGAAGATCAGTCGTTTTCCCCAATTCTAAATAAATTTAGCCTGATATTCTGCAGACGGGGCAGGAAACAGATTTTATTTTAGTCTCATGCACAGGATTAGGAGTTGAGCCAAACCGAAGGGAGCAAGTTTTGAAAGCCAAGAGGGTTAGTCTTATCTTCTGCTTCTGTTTCTATTAATGTGAGAATGGTTCCTTCTCTGGTATCATTTTCTTACATGCATTATGTTGTCATGATTGAGTTATCTTCAGGCTGGTGAGGATTCATTGAGAAGATCAGGTCTTGGGTACACAATAATTCGCCCTGGTCCCCTAATGGTAATTCTGTTTTATCATTCTTGACAACCTGTTGATATTTATACGTACATGGTGTAAACCTTAGTTTTTTTTTCCTGCCTTTTTGTTTTTTCCGGGGGCATTGAAGGTGGTCGTTATCATGGAGAACCCTTTACAAATGTGATTACAATGTTTATCAACTCTTTTGAATCATTGAACTTGCTTATATACTGTTAAAGCTCGATGTTCAAATGTATGTGTGATTTTTGAGAAAAAAAGGAGAAGGCAGTAAAAACGTTGCAATGAAACAGAATCTCCCTGATAAGCTCGAGGCATTTCCAACTGCATCTGCCTAATTTGGAACATTCTAAAATCAGTGTTTGCCATTGGTTTATGCCTGCTAAAGTGGTCCAATTTCTTCACTATGGTTATAGGGCTGTCTGTTAGCGTTACAAAAGAGAAGCTGTGAACCTCCTCCTTTATGTTACAATGGAAAATAGGAATTTACCACCAAATGTTTTCAAACTTTTTTTCATTTCCAACCTTGGCTTTTTTTTATGGCCAAAATATGTGCTCTGCTGAATCAAAGATCCATTCTTACAGGAAGAACCCGGAGGTCAACGTGCTCTTATATTTGATCAAGGAAACAGGATTTCTCAGGTGAGAACGTACCACTGTCTTAAACTGCAATAAGGGACTAGACTACTGAGTTTGCATCTCGTCTTACCACTCTCTTCCTTCGATCAGGGAATTAGTTGTGCTGATGTGGCTGATATCTGCGTGAAAGCATTGCATGATTCAACAGCAAGAAATAAGAGCTTTGATGTGGGTAACATTGTAACACAATTTCATTTCAAGTATGGCATCACTAACAGAAACTGGATTGATTGTGTGCAGGTCTGTCATGAATATGTTCCTGAACAGGGGAGGGAACTTTATGAGCTGGTGAGGACAAAATAAAACCCTGAAACTTTTAATTGCTTGTTGACCGAGAATGAGTTGAACTGAAGTAGCATACTCATCGTCTTTCTACAGGTTGCTCATCTGCCAGACAAAGCAAACAATTATTTAACTCCGGCATTGTCTGTTTTGGAAAAGAACACTTGATTGTCATGCAACAATAACTTGTCATCATCACCCTCTGAGAAACATCACCCAGTTGGAACTGCATAAACGGGAAGATGGAAGTCCCGTAATTTGATCTCTTTGGAAGTCTGCAACAAAACATTATGTTCTCTTTTGCCCATATGATGTTTGTCCTATAGATTATGCATAGTTTTTCTTTCCTGTAAATCCATATGTTGTCTGATATAGAAAATGTGTGTGTATGTATGTGTGGTGGATAGCATATAGAAAATGTTGTCGACTTTTCGTATTTATGGTTCACTGCGATGTAAAACATCATGAAATGTCACATAATTCAAACTGATCAGCGTTGACATGTTTTTGGGAATGAGATGTGGATATAATAGCCAGTGAATTCATTCAGACGTGACATATTTCAAACAACATGATAAGTGGATTACAATGACGAGATCTCATTAAACCAAATTGATAAGTGGAAATTGGCAATGAACAAGATGCTTGGGGTCATGCTCACGTGCAATTCATGTGACGGTGCAAATTTTAAACTGATCACAGGCCACCCACAAGAATGAAAAGGTTAGCACGTGGATAACAAAGTGACACAGGATAACTTTACCAGCAAGGACCATCAATAACATGAAAAGTATAGCTCAAGAGATAAGGAAAATGTGACTTCTCTTTGTTTTCTTTAACCCTGCTAAAATGAAGAAACATAATTGATAGACAAGAAAGACTTGCACATTATAAACCATAATGCTAATTTATGGCCCTGCGGCAGGTTTTTGTGTCAAAACTTCATTGTACTGTGTCAGCAGCAATATTTCCAGCAAAGTAGTAGAAATCTCACCAGATTCCGTTGCCGATGCATTCTTGCAGGTAGCTTCCTCGCGGCAGCCGCTGCTTTAGTCCCCTGCAGCTGTGCCTGCTGAGGTACCTCAAGATTTGGAAACACTGTCCAACATACCCCAAACACTATCAGGAGAGCGTTCATCCGCCAAAGATTGCAAGAAGCCAAGAATCCAGCGACCGAAGTCTAGAAAAGCAGAGTCATGCACTACCGTCTCACCACTTGCATTAGAGGCGGTGATGGTTCTGCTAGAGGAAGTCCTTTCAGCATAAGAGGGTACTTGGATTCTTTCCAATAATCCATCTCATTTTGCTTAAACTACTTGAATTCTGGATTAAAAATATTACTGTTGAGAAAATTTGATTGTCTGTTTCCTTCTGTGCAGACCTTCGGTGGCTTTTAAGGAAGGGTTTCGGAGTCGAAATTACTGGTACAATTTATTTATTCCTCATATTGGACTTGCTTATATACCATCATTACAATCAGCATTCAGTTTTTTTTTCAATAAATTATACAAGTTATAAGAATGAAAGAATAGTTGCTCTGCAAAAATCGATGCTGATGAAAGCTTAGAAGCCAAACTGCTTATACTCAACGACTGTTGGCAGATTATAATTGCATCATAGTCCAGTGAATTCACTCTAGTTGCATCATAGTGCAGCTTGGTGGAATGTTCAGATATTTGTAATTTGATTGGCGATGGAGACGATGTACCTTGAATTGTATATGACTCTCTTACAGCAACGTGAAAGGATTTTCCATTCATTCATTCCTTTTTTATTCGAATTTTATGTTAATAGCCATTGCTGACTAAAATAATCATCGGTCAGATTGTAATAATCGAATCTATAACATGGAACTGAATATACATTCATGTACTGATACATGTTATAAAACTTGAAATCGATGCAATATAAGAGGATTATTTTGAAATTAATTAATGTTCACTCGCTTTTTTGATCATCAAACTTTGCCAAGCCGCTATCTTTGGACCATTATTAGCTTATGCAAGAAGTGCTCACTGATTCCCAACTGATTGAAATGCTAGAGGAAATCCTTTGCCTATTCTGTTGGAGCCTTGCTTCTCCAGTTGATATGAGCTTTACTTGCCTGAACATGATATCTCATATCACAATCAAATTCTACATCTGAATCCATAAAATCAGATAACTCGACCGGTATTCTGTGTTAGCATCAACCACCATTACCTAATATACAAAGCAAAATAAAGAACATCCACGACAGAAATAGTTAAAGAAACTACAGAATCTTTATCTTTCTTCACATCAAGTGATTTTCCATTATTATTTAACTAGAGATTTGACTGCATATGCTCTCTAAACATTATTTTTCCGAAGCAAAATGTAGACAAAAACAAGTATGCTCGGAGTTTCCTATATAATCTTCAAAGCCTGGATAACGGTTTGATTAAAGCAAACAGAGAAGACGCCGGTGACGCAAATGTGGACTTCCCGCTGAGTTGATGATCATCTTGCCTTGGCTCTTCTCCTTCTTCGCTTTTGCGTTCTTCATTAGCTTCCTTCTCGGCATCATCCACCATCTGCTCAAGTTAACGAATATAAGTAGAGGCTAAAACTTACCAATCTTAAAGGAAGAGGAGAAAAAGAGTAGAGAAGAAGTAATCTTATATGTATCAAAGGACTGGGAAATATGAATGTCACCTTTCTAGTAATTGCAGGGGAAAGTGAAGGAATAATATCAACAAGACGAGTCTTGACGCGGTGCAAAGCATCCTTGGTAAGACCGTGAGCAGCAACCGTAACATCCCTCACCACGCTCTCTAAAACATGCCTAGCATTCTCCAAAGTATCGGCTGGGACCGCAGCCGCCGCCAGTTTCTCCAACACCCTTTCCTTGATCGCCCCGAGATTTCTCTTTATATCGGCTGCCAATGACGCTCCCTTCATCATCATCACTCTCTACTTGAATGATATCCTTTTTCTTTTCTTTTCTAGAGTAGTCTAGTGATAACTTGTGGTCTCTTGTTGTTGCCACACCTTGTTGGCAACGTCACTAGTTTTTGGAGGTAAGTGTCTATGGCTTCATTTTGATTGGTTTTGACAATGATTTGTTTGTTTGTCCCCTTAATTAACAGTGAATAATCAATGTGAAGATGTGGTCTTGGGACGAGGGGAGCTACTAGCTTTGCTCCTCCCACCATTTGTTTTTTTCGTGTCGTTATTCGGACAATTTCAGATATGTGAGTGATTCTTAATGTCTTTGGATTTAATAGATAAAACCCTTTTGTTATAAATTGTGATTAAAAATATAAAAATTATAAATAAAACTTAACTATTCATTTAAAAAGATAAAAATATTAATTAAATAATAATAAATATTTTATGAAAAATAGTATGAGATGATTAAAGTGTAGTATTTTTTCAAAAAGATTTAAACCTATTGACAACACATACACTCTACAGATGCACATGCCCGAACTCGAGATTTCTAGAGAGAATAACATACCTTTTTACCACTAAAATCACTCGATAAGTTCATACTAAAAAATATTTTAAATCCAACATTAGATATCTAATATAATGACCATACTTATAGTATGACTGAAAATAATACGAAACATAACATTTAAATATCATATAATTAAGTTACTTTTTAAATTAATTTATTGAACTTTTAAAACCAGTTGTTTGGTCCAATGATAAACAACTATTATTCTAAAGTGAGAATTTAAATCATATAATTAGTAGTGTGGTGGGTGAGTGACTGAGTGTATATAAAAAAAATTAATGATAAATTACGAAGATTTTTTTAAAAAAAATAGTAATTTGGGGTTGTGTTCAGGTTTGAATATATATATGTACTAAAAATCAGTTCTTTTAAAATTATACAAGTGTGGTAATAAATTAGTAATGAGATGTAGTGTTTTTTACCGTAGGAAAGTAGTAGTTACTTTTGTAAATAGGTCAAACAAAGTATTATTGATTTGGACCTTCAATTTAAAACACAAGAGGGTTAAAATAACCCAGAGGGTTAAAATAACCCAAAAGCTTGTTCGGCAAAAGAAAGGAATACTCGGAAATCTGGTATGCATAAATTATAAATTCAGTTACCATATCTTAAATTAATTAATTTTAAAATTTTTTAAAATTTAAAAATTCAGATTGAATATAAATAATAAAATATAACATAATTAAATTATAAGATTTAAAATAAATGGGACTAAATAAATTGACTTAATAGATCTAACGGCTATCGTTAGAGTCATGACCAACATTTTAAAAAATATAAAAAGTAAAAATAATCAAATTAAAATAAAAAAATTGAATAAAAAACTTACACATAGTATAAAATTTAATAGAAGAATTAGATTTATTTGAATGAGGTACCTCCTCAACAATTGCTATTTGCTCATAAAGAAACAATGATTTAATTTTCTATTGATTAGTTTAATGGGATGAACCATTTAATTCTATTAAACAATATTAGAGATATAAAAAATAATGGATAAAATTAAATTTAAAATATTATTCTATAATAAACATATATGATACTTGATCTGAATTAATCAACTAGTCATTAAATTTTTGTAATTATACTAAGAAAATTTATAACTCTCAATATTGATTGATTATTTACAGTAACAAGTATAAATGCATTCAAGGATGAAAAATAGAGTATGTGAGAGGCTTCTCTCCCAAATTTTTTTAAATTAGTTCATGATTTTTAAATTAAATAATTCAATATTTATTTCAATGTTTGATTTTAGTTGTGTTACTGATGACTTAAGATTTGATTTTGAATTGATTATTTAGTTTTGATTTTTGAATTGATTATTTAGTCTGGTGAAATACTATCTTAAATATTTTAGATAATATTCAAGATTTAATTTTTTTATATTATAAACCCTCAACTTAAGATGAGAGAATCATTATTAGAATTAATTATTAAAACTAAACCCTCAACGACCACTCGTATTATTTCCGTCTTAAACACCTTCATTATTCCAATCTTAAAACTCTCCCGGGTTATCCTAAACCTTAAACTCAAAACCTTCATAAACTTTATCATCATAAACCCTAAAATACTTGTAAAAACCCTAAATTTTAAATTTATCGAGTCCTAATACATCCAAATCTCCAGTCATAGATCCCAACAATCAAAACATAACATATATAGCAGGGAGTAATGTATTTGAACCAGATAACAACCAAGCAAGTATGTTTAATGAACGTGGTTGTCTGGTTCAATATTGAAGTTTGACTTGAAGATGGTTCTGATGGTATATTTAATGAATGTTTGCTCTCTATGGAGATTGCCCAAGTATGATATTGTTTGTTTGAGTATGATGCACGTGCGGAAAAAGTTTGATTCTGAATGGTTAGGTAAATCTAGTTTGTTGGCTAGAATGGTGGGGCATTATGTTTCCGAATGCTGGTTGGTAGGGTGGGATTTGATGTTTTGTTGGTTGCTTGTGTTTTAAGATTATGGAAGAGAGATGTATCGTTAAGCGTTATGTTATGTTCCGAGCATCATTTTGTTATTGAGCGGATATGTAATTGTAGTAACTCATTTTCGTTCGGGGTTTTATTTAGTATATATATATATATATTAATATATAGTTTTTATAAACGTTTTAAAAATATATATATAATATATAGTTTTTGAAAACATTTTAAAAATATATATAATATATAGTTTTTGAAAACATTTTGAAAAAATATATATAATATATAGTTTTTGAAAATATTTTGAAAATATATATAATATATGGTTTTTAAAAATATTTTAAATATATATATATATATTATAGTTTTTAAAAAATATATATATTTATATATTATATAGTATTATATTTTATTCATTTTCTTTTTTTTCTTTTTTATTTATTTATTTTCGTTTTTCTTTCTTTGGTCCAAAATTACAGGTCCAAGTCCAACAGTCTAAGAGGCCCAGCAGAGTGCCCAACCGGGTGGGCAAGCCTGACCCGACCAAGGACCCAGCAAATCGACCCAACCCAAGTTAGCCTGACCCAACAAACTAGGGTTTTCAACTTAAGCAAAAGCGTCGGACGGTTCTCAGCCGTAGGATCAAGCATCAATCGAGTAACCCATATCACATATTAGTTAGGGTTTGTGAAACCCTAAAAATATTATAACACGCTATACGATCCTGAGCCGTTGGATCTGCAGCCAAACCAACGGCTCAAAACAGACCACCGAGCAAAGTGGAGTTCGGCCGAAGAAACCATCCTCTAGTGGGAAACAATTTTTCCAACAACAACAACAATCAACCCAACAACGTAGTTTCATAGAATTCAAAAACATCCAAAAACATGTATTTCTATCCTAATGAAACTCTAAAACTGAACGGAAAAAAGGACTCTTAATGTTATAAATCCCTGCAAAAACGAAATAAAAAAACAAGTAAAATCGAAGCAAGAGAGCACTTGTAACATTCGAAAAAAAAGCATAAATAAACAAGGTATGTTTTACCCTTCTTGGCTAGTTTGCATGTGGTTGTGTTTGGAGTTTGTCTTGGTTTTATTTTTGATTCAAAAAGCCAATGATTGAAAGGGAAGTTTTTTTTCGAAGGATTGTTTATTCAGATCTAGCATTCCCCGAGGCTTTTTTATGAAAATGAATGGCAAATTCGAAGAAAGGAGATGAAAAGCTTTTAAAAAATGAATTTTTTTTAGGCCTCACCGCCGAGAACAGTGGCCGGCGCTGATCTACGACGGCCGACAAGGCAGTGCTGACCAGAATATGGGTTTGGTTTGAATGTTCTTCGTGTTCATGAAGAACACGAAGAACAATTCAGAGCATTTTGGTTTTTTGGTTTTGATCGATTTTGAGAGGAAGGATAAAATGGAAATTTGTTTGTGAATTTGGGCTTCATTTCCAAGATCCGAACGGTGAAGATGCAGAAAAGATGATGGAGAACAACATATTTGAAAATCGACCCAATCCAACGGCGGCGATTGGAGCCCGGAAAAGTCGAACGGATTTTGGCATTTTTGCGACAAACGACGCATCTTCTTGCGAAACGGAGGCCAGATCCGAGACGAGAAGGCCGAGATAGAACTCCGGGTAAAATTTAGTGTCCAACAGAAAAGAGAAAAGGGGCTTTCTCTTTACAATCTACAAAATCGAAGACCAAAGGGGGAACATTTTTTTAGACAACAAAAATCAAGTATTCACACTAAAGAAAAGAAAAAAAGAGAGATTGAGTTTTGTAATAGCTTCTAGGATTTGTAACACTAGATTCAAAGAAATAAGAAGGAAAAATAACCAAAAAGGATATTCCTTTTCTTTTTGAAGTTCTTGTTTAGATGTATTTTTTTAGGGTTGTTTTTGTATATTTGGTGGTAATTTTCGGGTAGAAGGGGAAAAGAGGAAAAAGTGTATTTTTCTCTTCGAAACCACAACAGACAATGGTTATTGGCGTCGATCCATGGCGGCTGATGTAACAACCTCAACACCTGGTTACTGACCAAATTGTAAAACTTCAGAATTTGGTGACTAAAGCAGAATAATTGAATAGTATTATAATTTGGTATAGGGTTAAATTGCAAGGAAGATGGAATTGAAGGATATAATAGTCAATTGCATGGAAAATAATTAAAGAAGAGATATATATTAGCTACACGTGGAAGAGAATGAAGCAAAACACAAGGTTTCAGAGTTCTCTTCTTCTCTTCTTTCTCCACACGTGAAGGGTCAAAACAAAGGTGAGATTTCTCATGAGCTAATTGTTTGCTGAAAATTAAGTTTTGTTTTGATCATTAGATGCTAATTAAGCTTAAGGAAAGCTTAAGTTGCTTTAAAACAACAAGATGAAAGGTGTAGGAAGAATTCAAGATTAAGAGTTCTTGAATGGAATTTTGAAATAGAGTTCATAATTAGAATTGGAGGTTGAATTTGACTTGCCATCGACTTAATTAAGACATACGAAGTGTTAGAATTAGAGTTAGAACATGTTGGAATTTGAGTGAGATTCTTGAATTCTATGTGGATGATTGAATTTTGAAGTTTAAGAGGTATTGAATGGGTATTAATTAGTTTAAATAGGTGTATAAGAGTGAAGAATATAAAAGGAGGTGAAATATGAAGTGTTGAGAGGAAAATGAAGGGATTTTCGTGCTCAAAATGACATTTATGGGTTGTGTGCATCGGTACATCTTCAATGTGTATCGATGCACTCTCAAATAAATAAACATCGAATGTAATTAGTGCATCGATGCACCCTCTTAAGATGAAAACATCGAATATGATTTGTGTACCGATGCATCGATACATACCTTCATTAAGAAATGAAATTAGCCTTTATTTTATGTTGAGTTAATCGATTGACGAATATGGCCAAGAGGGGAGTGAATTGGCAATTAAAATTTTGGTGGAAGCTTTTGCAGAAAATTGAAAGAAATTTTCACATCGATTTAGAGTGGTTCGACTTTCTCAACCAAAGTCTACGTCCACTACCTTAGCTATCCACACTAAGGATTTTCCACAAATTCACTAATTTGTCTTTCTTTTGAGGACAAAGAGTAACCTTACAAACCCTCAAGAATTATACCCCAAATTCTTGAGAACACTCTCTCCCAAAGAGAACAATACAAATTTGCAAACTTACAAGGAAATCCTCACAAGGTAGATTGTTTGCACAATTCTAGAACAAAGAAAAGAACACTCAATAATGAATACAATTGAGCACAATAAGTGTTCTTGAAAGCAAAATGAATATTGAATGAAAAAATAGGCTTGAAATGCTCAAACTTGAGGTTTGATGCTTTATATTTGATTCTCTCTTGATTCTAGTTGCTTGATGTTTCTTGTTATTGATCAATGGCTTCTAAGCTTGCTTAAATACACCTTGAATCACTTCTGAACGTTTGTGATCATTAATGAAGATAATATATCTGTTTTAGTGTGAAATCAATTAATAAAACAGTTTGGAGTGTAGGGGGAATCGGTACCCCTCATAGGGAATCGGTTCCCTAAGTGTAAAGTTTAAATATTTCGACCGTTGAACAGTGGGGGGAATCGGTACCCCCTTGGGGGAATCGGTTCCCTCCGAGCATACTAGAATTCTCGGAGCCAAACCATTCAGCGGGAATCGGTACCCCCTTGGGGGGAATCAGTTCCCTCTGAGCAATCTGAAATTTTTGGCTTTGAAACGGTTCGAAATATTTTGTAAAATTATTTTGAAATTGTTTTAAGATTAAAAACTTAATTTTACACTTGAGTAAGGATTAAAAATGACTTTTGAAAGATTTAGAGTAATGTTTTGATATTCGAATAATTATATCGAATATACTTAGAAAATCTTTTTGGAAAATCTTAAAATTCATTTAACTTAATTTGTTATATCGAAATATCAAAATGTTTTCAACAATCTCCCCCTTTTTGATATAACAAAACATTTTAGTAATTTTAAGATTTTGAAATCAAGTTTTGAAATTACTCCACCTTACTTTAACATTTCTCCCATTTAAAACATTTAACAGTTCTCCCCCTTTTTGTTAAATCAAAAAGACATTTTAAAAGAATTTAAACAAGGTTTTCAAATCACTTAGCCAATTTGATTATATATAGTTTAAGCTGCTAAGATCACAATCAAGAGAAACGTTAGCCATTAGTTTCATAATCAATATTCATAATTAATGTGACATGGCAAAATTGGTCATATATCTAACATGATGTAAATGATGCAATAATGAATAAATTTAACCACACCAAATATATAAGTTCAAACATCCAAACAAATCCAAAGTCTAATAATCAACAAAATCAAACATTCCAAAATATTCAAAATGTTGAAACAATAATCTTTTAGTTCAAAGTTCTAAAGCTAAACACAGAATCAAACATCCGAATCGGGAGGAAAACGAGCTCTCATAGCGGCCATCTCATGTGAGAGTGCATCAATACGTTCATTCATCGAAGCGTTGTTTGTGCGCATCTCTCGGAGAATTTCTAATTGTTGAGCTCCCATTGTGGATAAATGAGACTCTATAGAAGTAAAGCGTGAATCCATGGTAGCATATCAGAAATCGAATGTCTCCATAAAAGATTGAAAATATGGAGGCATTTTATACGTTTGTTGTGCTTGCTCCTTGGGCTGCTTAGGCTCATCTTCGGCTTCATCGATGTCTCATATTAATTGTTCAAGCTCGGGATCGTCGTCAGCTTCTGGTGGAGCTCGTGAAAAACTAGCTTCCGGAGTATTTTCAGAAGATCGAACCCATTCACCGGTTTCCTTATCCTTTATACATCCCGTTCTCGTTAAGGAAAGAAGATTAATTTGTTTCTTTAGAGGAAATGAGGCATCTAGACCAACACTAAGCCCGGCTTTAGTAAAAAGATTACTCAAAATGCAACCGTAAACTAGAGATGAACAGAGTTTCTTGTTAAGAACAAGATTTACGGTTTCAATAATTTCAGCAAAAATGATCTGAGGTATGTTTATTTTAATATTTTTTTCGAAACAATGTAACCACCAAAGATCCAAGGCTCTAAGAGTAGAATAACGACCTCCGGATGGTCGAAACCACCAAGAAATCATTAAATGAAGAAAACGTTCATGAAGGTCTAAGACACTCGCACTATCCCTTCTTTTATAACGAGAACCTAAAATTTGTTTTTAATTTGAAATACCATCGTTATCTAATCCTAATGCCTTGGCTATGTAAGCCGAGTTAATATGTAAGAATTGTCCTATGAGGTAGGAACGAACTTCTATGGTCTCAGTTTGAGCTTGGTTTTTGACACAAACAGCATTAGAATAAAAGATGCGAACAAGTTGATGGTAAACTATAGGTTCAAGGTCACAAAGTTTATCAAATTTCCACTCTTGTAAAGAGGAAGATATTTAAAATTAATATCTAACATAGCTTGACGAGAAGGGATACGTTCTTCTCTAATTTTGTAAGAGTCGAAATATTGATAATACCAAAAACGATGATTTCTAGGACCAAGATGATTGAAGCATGAATTTTGGATAGTTATATTGGCATCAACTGGATTAGGATTAGGAATTGAAATTTCAGGAATAGGAGGAGGATTTGGAGGTGGATTTGGTTGACGGTGTGAGCGACTAGATGATGACCTAGCACGTTTATGATTGGACATGGTTTAGGAAATCAGAATAGAATGGATAACCTACAATTTAGAAAACACATGTATGCAATTCAATCAATCCCAAAACTCAATTGAGTCCTCAATATTTCAAGGTTCTCTAAATCAATCCTAATGGGCAAAGTTTTTGAAAACTATTGAAAAATAATATTTTGAAAAACAATATATGTATAGTTTTCATAACAACAACATAATTCAATTAAAACACAATAATTTGAAAGAAAAAAAATTATTTCGAAAATTTCAAAATTTTTGGAAAATTCTTGTGTTTTTTATGAAATTAGTTGTAATATCTAGTTTCTAATCACTAAACAATCAATGCCCGGTCACTATTTCTATCTAGAACTCATTAAAACTAGTCCTATATTCAAAATCAATGAAATAGAGAGTTTAGAAAAATTTGCCTTGAAAGATGAGATTGAGTGGATTTTGATGTTGTTTGCATGATTTTAATGATGCTTGCAAGTTTAGAAGATGATATTTGAAGAGAATTTTGATTGAAAATGTTGTTTTGAGGTAAGAATGGAGATAGAGAGAGTAGAGAGGGGAAACGGCAGAAGAGAAGAGAATAGAGGTTTTGAGCCAAAACCAAGGGTTCTGCCTGATAAAACCAGAACCCCATGGGGGTATCGATTCCCCTGTGGGGGAATTGGTTCCCCTTCAAAGGGGGAATCGGTTCCCTTATGGGGGTATCGATTCCCTCTGCACCAAAATGCTAAAATCCGATTTTAAACACACAAAATGTTAAATTAATTTTCTCTAGTGGTATTGGCAACTCATATATTGAAAATTAATCATGTTCAAACAATCAAATTAATCTTTAAACGATATTTGAACATAAAATTAATTTTTCATCAAGAATCATAAACTCCCCCTAACTAATAGCAATGAATACAATGAAAAATTAGCATTTTTCATTTAGTCTTAAAAGTGCTAAAATTATTTTAAACACTAAGTGAAGATAGGTTGGTCAAACCTAATTCTCTCCTAAATGTCCAAAATCT